TTGAGAGTGACAGTGGATGAGAAACTCACTGTGAGCTGCAGTGTGCACTAGCAGTCCAGAAAGCCAATCGAATCCTGGGCTGCATCAAAAGGAGTGTGGGCAGCAGGTCAAAGGAGGTGATTCTCCCCCTCTACTCTGCTCTCCTGAGACCCCACCTGGAATACTGTGTACAGTTCTGGTGCCCTCAACACAAGAAGGACATGGAACTGTTGGAGCAAGTCCAGAGGAGGCCACGAAGGTGCTAAGAGGACTGGAGCATCTCCCCTACGAAGACAGGCTGAGGAAGTTGAGGCTGTTCAGCCTGGAGAAGAGAAGACTGCGTGAAGACCTCATAGCAGCTTTATAATACCTGAAGGGGCTACAAGGAACCCAGAGAGGAACCCTTTGTTAGGAACTGCAATGATAGGACAAGAGGCAATGGGTTCAAACTGAAGGAGGGGAGGTTTAGGTTGGATATTAGAAAAAAGTGTCTTACTGTGAGGATGGTGAGACACTGGAACAGGTTGCCCATGGAAGTGGTGGCTGCCCCAACCCTGGAAGTGTTCAAGGCCAGGCTGGATGAGCCTTGAGCAACCTGGTCTAGTGGGGAGGTGTCCCTGTCCAGGCCAGTGGGGGTTGGGACTAGATGATCTGTAAGGTCCATTCCAAACCCTAAAATTCTATGATACTATGATTCTGTGATTCTAGTGATATCCTTTGTAAAGTGCTTAAAATTTATTTAGCCTTGTTGACTTGTAAATGAAAAGTTTTAGAAGTCCAAGATGCAGAAACATGGAAGTTGAAAGGGAAATACATGAATCTGTAAACACAAATAATTCTCCATGTAGATTAGATGCAGGAAGTATGTGAGAAAAATAAAGAAGAAAATAAAACCTCTAAATATCAAACCTGCTTCATTACAATGCAGGATGCTGAAGAAATGCCTTCTCTTTTCTTTTAAGATGACTAGTTACAGGTGAAATATTTTGGGCATATCTAAACTGTGTCACAACACAGTAGAGATTTGACCACAACAGTTCCCATGCAGGGGCATGTGCAGTTCTATGTGACATTACTTGGGTAACTGCAGCTCTGAGTCTCTCCCTCTTTCACAGTAAATCCATGCCACAGCTGAAGCATGAAGAGAAAACGCAGTGAAATATACAGTACATTAAATTAACAAGGCACCCAGCCTAGGTGCCATGTGTCCAGGAATTCCTTGGGAACATATAAACAGCATTATGAAACGATTACATCTCATTAAAATTTGTCACTCACAGTTAGGCTGAAGAATGACAAACTGAAAGCTAGCTTTAGTGTCAAAGGTTGATTGCAAGGCATCTGAAGGGCATATACAAAGATTGGATGCTTAAAGTATTTATTGATACTATGCAATGCAGAATGACTATCAGCAGGGCAAGATCTGAGACCGCACAAAGCTACTCTTGCTTAACTGGATGAAACAAAAAAACTTCAAAGTAATAGCCAGAACTAAGCAAACTAAGCCCAAATTGCAGATAAAATCCAATAGATATCAATGCAAAATAATTCTTTCCTATTTGAACTATTCATAGGAGTTATGAGAAACTTCACCAACTGCTTATGCTATTGTTATGTGTAGTCACACAGTCCCAAGGGAACCCCCACATGGGCAAACTTACCCAAAATGATTCTAGAAAATCAAGGTGCCTAAAGAGACTTAGAAGACTTCAGCAACCAGACACACAAATGAACCCCGAGGCACTCATAATGGTGCCTCCCCATGTAGATTCTCTGATGTTTGTCTAGGATGAAGTTACACTCCTGTAAGGATACTAATATTGACACTCATTTTTGTTGAGCTTTATATTTTTGAGACTCACATTCTTTTCTTCAGAGTGACTGAAGTTGGCCCTAGGACTCAAAAGCTATTGATGAGACCACAAAATCCTATATAAAATACAATTACCTAAGATTATTTCTTTAAGAAACCAATCTCTGCTATTGTGAAAACAGAAATCATGCCATGATTTTCAGGGAGCTTCTGGACAATGCTCTTAGATGATTTAGGTAGTACTGAAAGGAACAGGGATTTTGACTTGATGATCCTTATGGGTCCCTTTCAACTCAAAATATTCTAAGATTCTATGATTTGAACTACTGTATTCTGACCATCTCTTCTTTAGCACATTTCAGACTCAGTGATTTACATGGAAAAACCTGTACAAGACAAGTGTTTGAAAAACATATTTTCTCTAGAGGTAAATAAAAAAAGAAAGGACATGATAAAAGTACAAATCATTTCTAGTAGGGAGTATGATCAGGATTTTTTCCCTTCTCTATTAAGAGAATGCACAAGTACACTTTCAGAGGAATTGAATGACATTAACCTAAGTTTAGCATTCAGAACTCCCTGTCATGAGTTTTAACTATATTTGAAGCTGTTGTGATTTATAAAAAAAATGATGTAGCATTTCAAAGCAAGGAAAACTATGTGCCTTTACCAAAAAAAGCCAAAGAAACAGCATACAGAAAGAGAGAAATAACTAATGGTAAAAAGCATGCACCAGCTTCTAAATGTCAGAAGGACAAATTTTAGCAGAACCATACTGTCAAAAAGCAAAGACTCCCTATTCCTGCAATGTGTCAATGTGCTGAAATGCCAAGATTCTTCATGAGGCTGCCAGCAAATACAAGCTGCCTTACACTTACTATCCTTCCCACAGTGGTGACAGGGATTCTTTTTACTCATTACATTTTTAAGACAGGGCAATTGTTTTAACAAATAAAATAAACTGCCCCTGTAATTAATATTTTCCATTATCCTGTGTAAACTGCCCCTTCCAGATGACATTGCTTCCCAAGAAACAGCAGCACACAGCATGCACACTCTCAGACTGCATTTTGGTAGTCACAGGGAACATACCCTATCACTGTTACACTTCTCCCTGCAGTTTCCTCCTTAATCATTCTGAATATTAAAGCACAGCACAGTTTTAAAATCAGCCCAGTCCTCTGTTTTGACCTAACAATGAATATTTAGAAGCTGTTTTAATCAAGAGATCAGAATCCTTCTCAAAAATTTACACTTCTCAGCACATTTCTCTGACTGCAGTAACAAGTCTCCCTTAATCACATCACAAGGTGCCAAACAGAGCTTGTATGTTCTGCCCTTAATCACACCTTAATGCAGAACAATCTGAACTAGAAGTACAACTAAATACCAAATCTTTCTCACATAGCTATAAGATGCCATTTGGTTTCTCTCAGTAAGATTTGAAAAAAGAATCCTTGAAGGCTGAACAGAAAAGTTAAGGCTTTTCAGCTCCTCTGCTATCTCTGAACTGCTTCTTCCCTGACAAACTGACCTTGCACCAAAAGGTGGCATCTGCCTGATACCCTGCCTTCATCTATCATTGACACCTCCAGTTGGCAGCATGCAGCCATTGCTAAGGGAGCAAGTATGGTAGAGTAGTCATGCCCCTGACTTCAGTATCATGCCACGTGTCATAGGCATATGCATTTCTGTGTGCACACGTGATCTTCTGTTATGTCACAGTACTTCCATGTTATTGAATTGCCTTGTGTTTCATGGCTATGAAGACTCCATGGGCAGCATAAGTTTTAAAAAAGGCTATTAAATGGCTGGTTGACATTTGAAGGATGAAATTCAGCCACGAAATTAAAGTAAGAAGACTATTTGAACTTTTGAAGCCATTTTAAGCTCTTGCCAATGACTATCTACATGGCAGTCCTGGGCTGGGGACCTGTGCTCTCTATGAGACACGTAATTCCAGAGGTGAATTTGTTACACAAAGGGTTATGAGTGTGTTACAAATTCATGTCAAAAAACCATGCTTCCATTGCATCTCTACACAGCAGCTAAGTTAATCTTATGCTCTTGAAAAAAGGGACAGCAGTTTCTTCCTGTTATGACTTCAACATCTAGAGGAAATCGGGACATAGCACTTAATCAAACAATAACCCATTGAACTAAGAAGAGGTCTTCCTTAACCCATTTAACTAAGAATAGATGCCTCAATCCTGGCATCTTGTGGAGCAGATTTCTGTCTGCTTGAGGTCCTTGAGAGCTGTTTATAAAGAGGAAGACATAGATGCAAAACATCCATAGGCTTCAGACCTCTTGTGTGGAAGACTACATCAAGGAGAAGTGAGTTCAGACTGAAAAAATGTGGAGGGCCTAAAGAAATATATTCTCTAGGCTGCTGCACAGAGTCTGAAGCAAAAATAGCTAGATAGTGGAGGAGCACAGTTTCTGTGGAGGTGATACTTCTCAGCAATGAAGGCTCTAAGGACATGGCAGGCAAACAAGACAGATTTGATGAAGTTCTGCTTTCTTCAAGGGGAAAACACATTTTCAGCATCTTGTTAAATGCAACATGAAACACGATGTGTGACTTTTTCAGGCATATCTATTCCTTTTATTTCTTGTCAAATGGCTGTGGTACCATTAGGCTGCTAGGAGTTATAGGCAAGAACATTTCTCTCACTTTCTGTTCCTTGGGGAATCTAGCACAATATAAGTGCAGCAACCAAAACACAAGCATCAATTATGGTATGGATCCCATTTTGCCTACAATAGCCTCTCTGAAAAGCTACCATCATTTCTGTGGCAAGGAGTGCTCTCTGTGAAGAACGAATTTTACTCTCTAGCTTCTTATTATCACAGAAAGTAGTTTTATGCCACAATGCCAATATTTATATTTTCCATTATCCTGGGGCTTTTTCAATGTAGGATAGAAATGTAAATATTGTAATATTTTTTCTGTTTTGTGCACACAAAGCCAATGGACTGTATGGAAGGGGAAGAAAAGTATATTTAAAAATACCACTTATATTTCTTCCCTAAGCAATTAAAATGGACTGTTTTCTCTCCAGAACATTAATAAAAAATGGAAGCTTTAGAAATTCATGACACGCAGGGCTAAATCAGTCTATTACAGATTTCTAATGTGTGTAACTCATGGATCATATTTCAGAAGGAAATGTAAATTAAATTGAAATAAGAATGTTGTACTTACTGTAGCTAATTCATCAAATTTTCCAAAAAGCTCATTCAGCAGCTTCACCAACTCTTGGGCAGTACACTGTGATGCCAAACTAGTGAACCCCACAATGTCTGCAAACAGAATGCTGTAAAGAAGGAAAAAACCCAGAAAAATCAGTACAGAAGACATATTCACACTCTTGTTATACTCTTTTATAGCATGACCCAAAGCACAAACTCCAATAAGCCCTGAAATGCTACCAACAAAGTGCCAGTTGGAACAAACATGCTAAAAAATTTAGACAAATAGGCATTAGTCTTGTGCTGTCCACTGTTGTAGAGAACCCTCGGACACTTTCAATACCTACACATCTATCTGGTGTAAATATGGCAAAGCACCACATTGACAGGATTCCCTGGAGTGTATTGTGCTGTCTGGCTCAGGCAAGCATCTAGCTTTCATCAATGTTAGCAAGGTTTTAATGCCCAACAGTTTAGTCTGCCTTAACGATTCCCAGCCATCTCTCAGGGGAAATAGTTGGAAGAAGCAGAGATATCACTGCAATTGAGAGAAAAAAAATTCTTGTGCAAATCCTGAAACTGAAGAATATATGGTGCCACGATCCTTTCAACTCTTTAGAGTCCTCCTTCTGTTGGCAGACGTGCAGAGCCAACCGCAGGAACCCACTGCATTTGTTTTCAACACCCAGATTAGAAATGTCAAACAAGTCCTTATTTCTGCAAATACTAATAAACAGTCCCATGATCCATGGACTGTGTATCTTTGACATAATGTAAAACTTAAGTTGCAAACTGTAAGTTGAATTAAGCATTAAGTACTCCCCTTCACCTCAAAAAACTTACACTCTTTAGATAAAACAGCAATGGTTGAGAAGCAGGCCTAATAAGTCCACAGTTTTCCGTTCTCCACTTTTTTCCCTGTCTAGCCACACACACAGGAATTGTAATATTTCCAGTAGCACCAACATCATCTACTTTAGAAAAACCAGCATGGGACCAGGGGGCCAGGGTTAGGTCTTTAAGGTAGTAACAATGTTACCTGCTTACCAAGGTCTTTAACAATGATGAATGTCTATATACACACAAAACAGAAATGTTCTATGTGTGAAGACTATATAACAATGTCTTAACAGAGCAACCATTACAACACTGACATGTACACTTACATCAAAGCCACTCAATTAGTTAAGCACAGAGCACAGGAAACAGATTCATACATGATCATTCAGTTAAAAGGAAAGTTATTTTACACATGACTACCTTAGTAAGTCAGTATAGGATGCCTGTCAATCCTTTAAACATTTAAAAAATACTTAGTCCGCAGCATTTGATCCAAAACTCTGGTAATTATACACAAATATGAAGTTCCTAAAAGTACCAATATATAACTGAACACGAAATTGAAAATCTAGGTGAAATATGTAATTATCATATGCTGAGACACAGTTTTTCCATTACACTTGTGAACTATTTAATCCTGTAGTTAACTGCATGTATAAATTTTTAAGCTAATGAAATAAGTTAGGTAATTATGATTTCTGTTACACTTTCTTTGCATAAAAATGTTTCTAAAAAATGTAACTTTTTTTTACAAAATTCATAAATCACTGTTACACTTTCTTGGCATAAAAATGTTTCTAAAAAATTTAACTTTTTTTTACAAAATTCATAAATCCTTTAATACAATATTCTTAAAATGTGCAAACTGTAACTCTCATGCCTAGACATAGCACAGAAAAGGAAAGGCTGTGAGTAGAAGCTCTGCCTTTTTTTAAGAGAAAATCTGCTCATTTCTACCACCATGAAATGTTAACAGCTGTAGCAACTGCTGCATTTCTTTTGAAAGCAGGCTGAAATACAAATGACTAAACCTGATTTTGCATCAGGAATGGCAAAATTCAAGCCAGTTGAGGAGCAGGGGCTTTGCAGAAGGAATGGCAAGAAATAGCCAGTTGAGGAGCAGGGGCTTTGCAGACCCAAAGTGCAACTGGGACTGCAGGCTTGCTTCTTCTATGGGGTGGCAGTCCTGAGGAGGGAGACCCTCTCTCACATACACAGGGCTCTGATATTCTAAAAAGTGGCATTGGAACTCGTTAGCTTGTTCATTTTATTTTAGCTAATGCACAAACCAATATTATCTCTTGCACTTCTTCACCTGTCTGTGTCCATCTGTTGCCTTTTCCCTTACTTCTTGGACTACAAGTACTGTGGGGCAGCGCCAAGACTTAGTCTTCATTGTACAACATCTAAAAGAAATTAGGGCAGCATCTTGGTCTGTGACATAGAGTCAAATCACCCATCTGATGCAATAACTTTTTTTCCACTTATGTTCTGCTCAGGTTTTTGGAACATAAAGGACACAGAAGGCCTCCGTCAGGAGGTGGCAAAATCAGTCACAGGGAGTGAGAACAGAAAAGGGATTCAAGTTCTTGCTATGGCCATGAAATTCATAAAAAGAGATAAACTGTAAGATATAAAGTGCCAGAATTCAAGTGATATTCCTGAAGGGTTTCCAGGGCCAAACCATATTTTCAAATATATTCAAATATTTTCAAAGTCCAAGTGCCCACCCATTTCTCAGTAGAACAGATATTAGCACTGAATTTCCCTTTCCTTTGATTTGGATATATTATTCACAACAACATAATGACAGCCTTGATTTAGGCCATGTCTAACACACTTGGAAGAGTTAAGACAAAGCAACTACAGGAGTGACATCAGTGTTAAAGCACATTAATTGCTCCTGTTGATACACTCATCCAAGAGCAAAGTAGCCTTGGTTCACAGTAACTTAATCAGTAATTACCATGGAGGTTCACATCCTCAGAGAGGATTAAACTAGAGTAAACTAGGGCTACCTTATTTATGCATGAAAGATTCCTCATAATGGCACGGTATACAAAGGGACACTTCACAGTGATTGCCAAGTAGTTTTATTTAAAAAAAAAAAAGTTAGCATGCATAGAAACAAGAAGTGAGGAGCTACCAAGTAACAATTGTTTCTCTTAATGACCATTCAGGAATACCACTCTCCCTGCTTTAATTCCACAGAGGTAAACAATTTAATTCCACAGAAATCTTAATGACCATTCAGGAATACGACTCTCCCTGCTTTAATTCCGCAGAGGTAAACAATTTAATTCCACAGAATTAACAATGCCATTGGCACACTTTTGTGAAAAACAAAAAAAAACCCCTCCATCTTAATTAAACTGCAACTATTAAAGAAAGACGAGAAATAAAAGTGGAAAGAAAGTGAAAACAAAGGACAAAGGTTAATTCTGTGAAAGTGGAAAGAAAACAAAGGACAAAGGTTAATTCTGTTTACTCAACCCCATACCTTGCACATGATTCAAACACACACAAACACTCTTCACTACAAGTGATGTAAATGTGATGGTTAGAAAGGCAGTGCTGAGCCTGGTGCTGCCTCACTGCCCAGGGGCTCAGCAATACTCTATTCCTCCATCCTACAACTAAGCACAGGGAGCCCAAGGAGTTAACATTCCCCTCGCCTGTGTGCTATACCAAAACCTCTGCAATCCCATGCTCTTTGAGATATTCAGCATTTGTCCTGTAGTGTTCAGCCATACAAGGATTTTATCAGTAAGTTCACAGGATCAGAAAGTTTGGCTAATCTGGCAAAAACTAAATCGCTTTGGCTTTTAGACAGACAAGTTATTAGTGTCATAAGTTGCAACAGCATGTCAATATTCTAATTATATCCTAGGGGGAAAAAATCAATTATTGAGCAGAGCTTTGCCAAACTTCTCCTCTGCTCTTTATTTTAAAGTCTGTGTGATGCCATTGTGTTGCAGGAGCAGTGCTGTCCTGGGTTAGAGGCTCCCTTCATTCTAATGCTGCCTGCTTACTTACAGAACATATGCTCAGTGTTACTGAAGTGCAAAACAGCAGCAGAACGAGACTAGTTTGAAAGATTTCTCTGATTGCTTTATTTGAGATGCAAGACACACTTTCACCGGTTTTCTCTCTCAAGGTCAGAGCTATGGTTACCCTTTCTGTGACTTAAAACCCCCATCGCTCCTGTAACACCTTCTATTCACAGCTAATAACCACTTGTTGACACAGCTGCACCTGGGTTAGTATTGCCTTTCTTCTTCCAGTGCTCCCACAGAGAAGCTAAACCACCGTTTTATTCTCCAGTCCTATTGGTCTTACTCTCATTTAGGAAAGCTTCAAACTACTTGGGTTTCGTGTTTTTGTTGGTTTTGTTTTGTGTAATGATATTTTAGTTTCAAATTTTTTTTTAAATGTAGGAATGACTAGAGTGTAGTTTAATACTCCCCACTGAAAACATGGCCTGTCTTTCTAACATTTACATAGTCACCTTCTACATTTGCTAGGAAAAGGAGCTTATCTTTGTCAGAAAGCTACCCATCTTTTTTTCACTAAAAATATTTTACACATAAATGGCTTGTTTCAGTTACCAATAAAACAAAATTATGTTAAAATACTTATGTCCAAAACATTTTGAAATACACATAATCACGAGAATGAGATTATGCAACTGCAAAATTCAACAACTTTGTGAATAATTTCTTCAAAGGAGTTTAGTTTTCTTGTTACAATGCATCTGTCCCTCTGTTCTTAGGATATTTCGTTCTTTCCTAATAAAATGCATCTAGATTTCTGATAAAGACAACTTTTTAAAAAAGGATTGTAAAAAAAGTTCTTCCAATTACAGTGTACAGTAATTACATCTCCAGTTACTGTTTACCATTTCCAGCTAGACACTGTGAACAGAAAGCATGCCTAAACTCTAATATTGACATAAATTTAGTCAAAGACTGTACACACCACAGACTACTGCAACAAAGCATATATGATCGATATCTGTATCTTAGTGTGTAAATACAGATTTGTAAGCACTGAAGAGCAGCGTTTTTATTTCGATTGTTCATTTCCCTCCTTATTTATGACACAGACAGAGGGAGTGAATGCACCCATTACAAATCTGAAGATGACATATAGCGATGTGGTGCAGTCAACAACACTGGAGGGAAGGGATACCATCCAGAGGGACCTTGACAGGCTAGAGGGGAGGGCCTGTGTGAAGCCCATGAAATTCAACAAGGCCACGAGCAACGTCCTGCACCTGGGTTGG